TGGCTGTGGCGCATCTTGCACCTGCGCCTCGCATACCGTCTCGAGCTCGCGCACCTGCTGCATGAGATCGCGTATGAGCATGTCCTTGCCCTCGTCGCGAGTTTGCGCATCGCCAGGGAGCGAGAGCCGCGCTGCCAGCTTGCGTTCCAGCCGACTGATTTTCGTCAGTGCCGCATGCAGCTTCTCTTGCACACGCGGCAGCGGATCGTCCAGCGAAAAGCCACGCATTTTGGCCGGCGACACGGGGTGCCACGTATCCGAGTCGGGCATCGGAGCACCGCCCTGAAGGATCAGGGCGCCCAGCTCGTCGAGACGCGCCTGCACCGCATGAAGCGTCGGCGGCGCCGTGCTGGGCCCGGTACGCTGGCCCTGGAGCTTGTCCACTTGCGCACGCAGGGCGCCCATTTCCTCGCGGTAACGCGCCAGCAGCACAGGCGACGAGGGCGCCGTCGAGCCACCGCTGGCCACCTCGCCCTCAAACTCGTTCACCTCCGCTTGCACCGCGACATGCTTGATCCGCCGCGCAAAGTTGAGCGTGCCGATGCTCTCTTCGACCATCGCTGGATTGGGGTTCAGCGTGCACACCACGGCAATGCGTGCTTGACCGCTTAAACTGTTTTGCAGAATGCGCGTGAGCTTCGAATCGCGGTACGGCACATGTATCGGGCCAGCACTGCCCGGTGCGCGTGACTGCTTCTCGGAGAGGGCATAGATCACTTTGCCGAGACTCAGCAGACTCTTATTAATGTTGCCGCCCTCAGCACGGCGGTGCGTGCGCTGGGCCGAGTACCGCTCCGAGCCGGCGAGATCAATCAGTGATAGCTCGCTAAGTCGGTACGGACGACGCGCGCCAGGTGTGCGGTCCCACGACTCGACGGTGATTTTGAAGCAGGTGTGGCTGCGCGACGACCGCTCGTTCCAGTCTGTCTCGCCCATGTGGCGATTGGCCTCGCCACGCGCAAGCAGCTTGAACACCTGCGCAGGCGACGTCACAACAGCTTCGTGGAGCGGCGCCACTGACACGGCGTGCGCGCCGCGCCGGCGGTCGTCGCGCACCTGCGGCTGGTTGCTGGGCTCAAGCAGATCCTTGACAATTTCATTCCAAATCTCCAGGTAGCTCACACGCAGCAGGTACTCGCGCTGGGCCGAGCCTTGGCAGATGCCCTGGAATAGGTCCTGTACAGCGCGAGGTATCACACCCGGCTCCAGGCCCGCCTCGTCACCGGATAGCGTGAATGTCTTGCCACTGGCTGTTTGGCCGTACGCAAAAATGACACCATGGTACCCATGGAGCACCGAATGCACCAAGGGGCGCGCTAGCGTCGCATATATGTCAGCGTTCGAGCTCCCTGTATGCAGTCCATCAAACTGGTACGCCATGCCCACATGGGGCGGACCCTTGGCAGCCGCAAGACGGCCGTCTAGCATGAGGGTCGCATTTGCCTCGTCAGTCTCCCATGCACACTCCTCGTCGTCCGTCGCCGGGCGCAGGCGCACATGCACCTGTACCGAGTCGGGCCCGTGCATATCGTCAGGCTCTAACACAAACGAGCCATCGCCCACCTCACTCTCGAGCGTCGCCACATCAATGCGCTCCGTGGAAGGCGGACGGGGAATCGGCGCCTGCGCAGGGCGGTCCAGTGGACGAACCTGCCGGTACGCACGACTCGGAGGCGTATCACATTCCAAAGTGGACGCAGTGCTCACAGCAGCTCGATGGTGTACAGGGACACCTTCGGTTACCTTGGCGCGCACCGCACGTGTCGGTGAGCTGCCATGCACAACACGCGCAGTAGGCATGCGCGGCGTAGACGCTTTCACGCCCCCTGCAGTAAGAGTAGAGTCCACAGCTCGCGATTTCGGAGCCACGGATCTCGGCCCCATGGGGGCGCGTACAGTGCGGGTAGGTCGGGCCAGGTCCGCGGCGGGTATAGGGGAATCGCATGTCCGCATGGTATCGCGCGACATGGACATAGGAAGTGGATGCTCTTTCAAAGGTGAGCGAGACAACGCAGGCACCACAGGTGGCGTCTCTGCACGGAATGGCTTGCTGGATGCCAGGCCCAAGGATGTCATTGGGCGATCAGGAACCTGGCCAGCGCGCTTGGCCAGCGAAGTCGTCGGACGGCGTACATCCGTGTCTTCTGAAGCTTTCCGGCTCTTGGTCGGCGTATTTCCGGCTGTCAGCGCGCTCGGTGCATCCGCATGGTGAGGTGTCGTGGCGACACTCGCCGCGAGAGTCGGCGTTCTCTGACCAGCGCCACCGCGTTGGTTCATCGCCAAACTTTCAGAGAGCGGTTCTCCACGGTGCACAGGAGATGAATTCAGTGCTTTTCGGTTGGGCGTAGGCGTCGAAAGAGGCACCACGGGCCGGGCCATTCGCTTGCGCGGCGACGGCATAAATGGCGTTCGCGATGTGCCCGAGCGCAGCTCCATCTGAATAGGTGGCGTATCTGCCAGAGAGACAAATCCTGCGGGACGCTCAGGGGCCCTATGGCTCAATGAACGTGGACTATCCACGTCCATGGCGTCGCGGAGGGGCGTGCGGACGAGCAATGACGATGCGGCGTGGAGGTGTTGTGCCGGCGCGCCTGGGCGCGACCCTGAAACGATCACGTGAGGAGTGATCGGCGTGGAGCGTGCGTGGCGGCCGTCATCTCTCACTGCCTCCGGCCTGCGATCGGCATGAGCAGCGAAGGTGACGCGGTGATGACAGAGGATCTGCCGCAGGAGATCCTCCAAGCAGATGTTCAAGAAATCCAAATGCGTACACGCATGCTGGAGAACGAGATTCGTGTGATGAAGTCGGAGCACATGCGCCTCTTGCACGAGCAGACCATGATGAAAGAACGTATCAAAGACAACGCGGACAAGGTGTCCCAAAATAAAGTCTTGCCTTACCTTGTTGGAAATGTTGTGGAAATCTTGGACATTGATCCGGATCTCGATGAAGATTCCGAGGAGGCCAAGCAGACAGACCACAAGGACCACCACGAACACAAGTGCGCTGTCATCAAGACATCAACCCGCCAGACCATTTTTCTACCCCTCGTTGGCCTTGTGCCTACCAATGAGCTACAGCCCGGAGATCTCATTGGCGTAAATAAGGACAGCTACCTGATCTTGGACAAGCTGCCCGCCGAATACGACTCGCGTGTCAAGGCGATGGAAGTTGACGAACGACCCACGGAGACCTACACGGATATCGGCGGTCTTGAGAAGCAGATCGAGGAGCTGGTCGAGGCCATTGTGCTCCCGATGCAGCAGGAACAAAAGTTCAAGAACCTGGGCATCAAACCGCCGAAAGGCGCACTGATGTACGGCCCACCGGGTACCGGCAAAACTCTCCTCGCGCGTGCGTGCGCCGCCCAAACCAATGCCTGCTATCTGAAGCTGGCTGGACCCTCACTCGTGCAGATGTTCATTGGTGACGGTGCGAAGCTTGTGCGCGATGCGTTTGAGCTCGCGCGTGAAAAGGCGCCAGCGATCATTTTCATTGATGAAATTGATGCCATTGGTACCAAGCGCTTCGACTCGGACAAGTCTGGTGACCGTGAAGTCCAGCGTACCATGCTTGAACTTTTGAATCAGCTGGATGGTTTCTCGAGTGACGACCGTATCAAAGTGGTGGCCGCAACGAACCGTATTGATATCCTCGACCCAGCCCTGCTGCGCTCGGGTCGTCTTGACCGCAAGATTGAGTTCCCGCTCCCTAACGAGGAGGCACGGGCCCATATCATGGAAATCCACAGCCGCAAGATGGCTGTGGGCCCGAACGTCAACTTTGCCGAACTTGCGCGCTCCACAGACGAAATGAACGGCGCGCAGCTGAAGGCCGTCTGTGTCGAGGCCGGTATGATTGCCCTGCGCGAGGGTGCTACAGAGTTGGACCACGAACATTTCTTGGGTGGAATCCTCGAAGTGCAGGCCTTGAAAAAGTCTGATCACTTTTACTATGCATAGAAAATGTACATGTGTAGTTATGTTGTGCGCTGTACAAGCATCAGGATCACTGTGGATAGCACAATGACGCAGATGATGATGGAAAGGACAGTGACAACAGGATGTGTGTGCCCTTCGCATTCGTCAAGATATGTATGCTCCGTTTCAAGCTCTCGCACGCATTTAAAATAGTCATAGGTAGAGATACCCCAGGACACAAATGCAACAACAATGTAGATTGTCCCAAGCGCAATGTTTTCCGCCGGTAACGGTACCTGAGAAGAATAGTGGTTCGGAGGAAGTGAGGAAGGCGGTGACTCATTGGGGTACAGCGTTCTTGTTGGACCTAAAGCGTACACATCTTGATCTGTTGGAACAAGTGGAAGAATCGAAGATTTTGAGCTCATATGTTCAATGGTAGATGTAATATTTTCAGAATGCTGCCGCAAATCTTGAATCTGTAGATCCAAAAACATGGTCGCAGAGAGCACCGTCGTCATCATGAAGAATTTGACCCAGGAGAGAAAGTTGCGCTCGCGCACTGGCGTTAGCATATTGAACGTACTACAAAAATCACGGGTAGATTCACAAGGTACTAGACGGGACTTGAGACCAAACCATGGTCGACCTCGGAGACGAACTGGCTCGCCACCATCATCGATACGCTCGCGCTCATCGGACGAGTCCGACGGCTGACGATATCGCGCTATTCTCCAATAGCTCTTGCGATAAGAGAGAATGCTATCCTCGATATAGGACCAGTTTGGACCATCGGCCGCACTCTCGACATCTGCGTGGTCCGAACGCACAAAGAATCCCCGCACCACACACAAGCAACTCAATTTCATACCTTAGGAACACATACTATCAAAATGTGCAAGTCCACCAATGAACCAGCCATAGCTCAGTTGGAAGAGCGAAGGTTTGTAATTGGAAACCAGTTTCAGGTCCACCTTAGGTCCCGTGTTCGAATCACGGTGGCTGGATCCTTTTTATAATGTACAATATGTTAGTCATTCTATATAGATGGTATTTATCGCAGGCCAATCAGCAGGCACCCAGCCATAGCTCAGTTGGAAGAGCGAAGGTTTGTAATTGGAAACCAGTTTCAGGTCCACCTTAGGTCCCGTGTTCGAATCACGGTGGCTGGACACTTTTTTGCTATTTTATGTCGTTACACGGACAAAGTGACCGGCATGGAAGGATGATAGGGGAAAGTAGTGGCAGGTTATGGTGTCGTTGTCAAACCACTGTTGTCCGTCCATCGCTCGAACAGCCCGATAGGCGCCTGCCATACCGGTGAAATGGACAAAGGCTTGCAACTCGTCATTTTCATTGGGGTATAAGAGGATCTTGTGAACAAACCCGTGTGCAGAACATGCATCCACTGAATATAAGCCAATACGACGTACTGATTTTTTTTCGTAGCTGGTCAAAAGGCATTTGGGCACTAGAAAAGCCTTTAAGAACAATGACCTCGCTTGGCTCTCCATAGCGTGCCAAGCTCTCTGCCTGTGTCTCATCTTTGTTATGATTCACGATAGCACCACGTTGTGCGCCACGCTTTCCGGACAACTTCATCGCGACCAAAGGTGTTGTGATACCCTTATTACCTTCGGCACCCTGTTGCATCAGTAATCAAATACGTACGAGTCCTTCACCCTCCTTGTAGCCATACCGCGCCATAAGCCGCTCCGCGAATGTGGCAGCATCGAATGGGTGAGCTGAAGAAGCAAAGGAAAGCGGGCTTGCTTCAGGGGAATTATCGATGTGTGCTTCCGCCGCTATCTCTTGAGAGCGCACGAATTGAGGAGCCGGGCGACTTTTAGACGCTGAGGACGCACTGGGCACTAGTACAGGCATCACGGGCGGAGGTCCCGGAGGGGGTGGCTTTGTGGATAGTGTTGCCTGACGTTTCATCACATCCGGTCGTTTCGGAGGAGGACCCGGTGGGAGTGTATGTACTTTGGGTGAAGGTATCTCGCCTCTTTGCGGAGATCGCTGTTCGTCTGGATCACCCACGACAGGTGCATACGATGCAGGAGGAGCAAACTGCGGCAGCCTAGGACGCTCATCACCACTTTCTTCGCCTGAGTCATCGTCTCGAGGTCGATGCTGGCGCCACAGTGTCATGCAATTCTTCATTGTCACATAATCATTGGGTTCGTGAGGATCATAGCCGTTCCTGAGATAGGATTCATGGATGCCCAAATCGCCCTGAGATAAGTGTCGCAGTACGAACCCCATCCATCGCAGCTTCGCGCTCCTCAGCGGCACTCTGTGCCAAGCGTTTATCAATCTCTAATTCTTCCGTTGATAGCTGCATGACAATCGCTGAAACCGCCGCTGGTATCTGTGTCGGTGGAGTATGCTTCCACAGCGAGGCGGCTGACCGCTGCGGGGCCTTGGTACTAGGCTTTTTGCGGGGTGCGAACCGAAGCGCGCTAGACCACGAGCCTGAAGATGCCATTTTCTCTTCGCCTTGTGCATCCTGCGGTTCCGATGGGGACAGGCCACGGTACAGCAGGGACGACCCCGGCGCAGGGGACCCTGGCCCCTCCATGGGTGTCGTTGTGGAGAAATCGAGACGGAACTCTCGCCCGGCACTCCACCGTGCAAGCCATGCGATGATGGCGCCTTCACTTCGCGACGAGGTGCAAGCGATGCTGACCGTCTTTGAGCAAGATGTGAGAGACATCTTCTCTAGTATGTCTCAAGAGGCTGCTCTTGGAGCGAGCAGTTCAAAACGTGATACCCCTGCGAGTCAGGCCAAGATTCGCGCGCTGGCCGATCGGCATGCCGAGCTGGTGCAACTGACGCATACCATTGCGCAGCACCAGGCGAACCAAGCTCGGATTATACCAATTGTAGCCGAGGTCAAGTCGCGTGATGCGCAGCAGCGCGCTACGATTGCCCGTCTGACCGTACTGCGTGACGAGCTGCGTGCACTGCGAGAGGCAGGCGCGAAAGAGGCACAAGCCTTGGAGCGGGCCGAAGCTGCCCCCGTGGCTGCACAGGACATCCTAGACTATGCGCAGCGTTTGGCCAAGTACACGTCTGCTCCGCCCGGATACCAACTGGCGGATTTACAGGCCAGTGCCGTACAGCCCAGCAAGGCGGCCCAAGCGGACTACAACCCTGATGCGACGCGTGCGGCAGCCTACTACGACCCCATAATCCCAAACATGCCACAGGAGCTTCCGTTTCCGACGGACCGGATCATGCGCCAGGGTATCCTCTACGCAGATGCTGCTATGGAGAGCGGAGTCACTGCGCCGCCAGAACAGGGCAGCGACTCTGGCGCACCGGGCGCACAGCCGCCGGTCGAGATGCCCGATGCGACTATGCCTGCACACGGTGCCCTCCCTGTGCTCGACTCCTTCGGCACGGACGACGAGGATGCCTTTGATTTGGATCTGAACCCGTAGCGACGCAGGTCCGGCACGGCTGGCTGTGCGCCATAGACGTGTCAGAAAGTGGAGAAGAAAGACCTAGTGGGTAAAGCCAATCATGAATGGGGTACGGGCGCGTGCGGCCGTCGTGCAGGCTCAGACCCTGCCACGAGCTTGGTTTGTTTGCGACTGTCATGAACGGGGCCGCCCCAGTCGCCGGGGAAGCCTCGGGCTCGCCAAATAGTCGCTGGGAGAAGGCGCGAGCATTGATGCAGCCGACGCCTTCCAAGGGGCCGGACGCGACTGGGTATGTCAGTGGCTCGTCCTACCCCGGCTCGCCGGCCCAAGCGCCTTGCTCGCCGCACATGACTCCTGCATACCCGCGTACGCCTGCATCAGTGCAGTGGGAGTCCCCGCGGTCGCCACCTAGTGGCATCATGGACCCATCGCCAGTCCTATACGACCGCACGGGACAGGTAGGCCTCGGTGAGCTGGCCACGCCTCGATGGATGCTCGCGCAGGGCGCCAACGAGCCGTTGATGACGCCGCCATCGGCCCCCCTCCCGCGTCGATCATTGCTCCAAGAGACACCTTTGGCCGATCCGCACGCCGGGTCTGCTACCAGCACGGCCGCACGGCATGCTCGGGCGATTTCCTACTCGATGGACCGTACGAAGGGCAGTGTAGATACGGCCCCGGCGCCGCTGCCATCATTTACATCGATGCAGTTTGACAAGCTGGTGCCTCAGGAGACATCGTACCATGCTCAAGATGCAAGCCACCCATCTCCTCTGCAAAAAGCGACGTCGCAGGTGGATCGATCGCACCATCGCCAGCCATCCCTTGGCAACAAGCCACCTTTTGGCCATGCAGCTCTGCTCCCGCCCCCTGTGATGCAGTTGCACACACAGGAGGATGCGTCTAATACGTCCGGCACGGATCTGGCGCATACTATGCACCACTTGGATGTGTCGGATGCGTACGCCACGTCCGCCACGGTGCCGCAGGCTGACGATAAGAGTCTCGACGATGTCTTCACGGGACAGATGCCGCATATGGTGCCCACCATGACGCTGCCCTCGCAAGAGAAGGATGTCGCAGGGCGCACGGCGTTCTCGCGCCTGGAAAAGGAGGCAGGTGTTGATCAAACACGCTGGACAGTGATGCCGAACAGCGCGGCGACCCCTCTCTCTTCGGATACGCCACCTGCCATGGGCCAGGCGCTGGGCTCGCCATCGCCCATGGCGGCTCCCTCAGTGGCCCAAGCTTATCCGGCGCCGCCGCCCGTGCCTGATGCATCGCCACGCATTCCCAAATCGCCGCGCTGGCGCCGCCAAAGCTCTGCTGCCCAGGTGGATGATGGTGATGAGAGCAGCAGTATCGCCGGACGACTGTCGCGCCGCTCGCTCATGGCCCTCGGCTCCATTTTCAAAGTGAGCCCACGTCGTGACAAAGCCAAGGAGGACGCGAATCCAGAAAGTGCCGAGACAGACGCGGTGTCAACGCCCTCGCGCATGTCCCGCATCTCATTCACTCGCCGGCGCCGACAGAGCACGCACCTTCGAACGCCTCGCATGGACGATGCGCAAGGGGGCGGAAGTGACGCAGCGATGCTGGAAGCTCCGCCATCATCACTTCCTGTGTCTGCCCCCCATGGCGCCTCCAAGGCGGGCCGCCGCGATGCGTCTGACACTGGACCGGTGCCTCGCACGGAGCCTTCGCCCTATTACGCAGCCAAGGCACAAGGCAGTCGTATTCCCCGCGCCTCGTCTATGATGCGCATGCTGAATCGCAAACCCGCGGATACGGACGAAAAGCCTGCTCTACCTACGAGTGCCTCGATGCAGAGTGTGTCGTCCGTCAGTGAGTCGCCATCACAACGCATGTTGGCAGCGCGTGCCTCACTCATGTCGGAGCAAGGTGGGCCTTCCCGTCGATATGCGGAAGAGATTGGATCGCCTGTCAAGGCACGGAGTGTGCGCAAGTCGTATGCAAGCAGTGAGGCGATGGAAGCGCTGCGTCGTCAGCGCCAGCTGGCCGCGACGCCTAAAGAAAAGGGCGCGGTGCGTACACGGCAAGATCGCGCGTCGGGAACGATACCCACCGTCGGTGCCGTGGCAGCGTCCCGGGTCGAGCAGGCCATGCATGTGTCTTCGCAACGGGACCAGGCCTCGGAGGCGCTCCGCCGGTCGCGGGACGAAGCGGAGAGCGATGCCGCGACGCAGAAGCATGATACTGTGGCTGCCGAGTCTGTCTTGGGCACGCCGTCATCTGGACCGTCGGCAGGGCATGTCACGTCAGGCACGGTGGCCAGTGTAGCGCCTGCAGGCTGGGCGAGTGTCAACCGCCCGTATGCGCCTGAGTCTGGGATCCCTGTGCCGACAAATGTGCGCCAGCGGTCATCGAGTGTGCAGTCGCGGCGCGCGACTCGCACGCCGACGCTCGTGGACGATACGGCGGCAGCGGACGAGGAGATGGAGCGGCACGTACAGCGTGTATGCCGCCGAAAGATTGCCGCTGGTGCGCGGCCGGAGGACCTGGACAAGCTCTACTCCTTCCCCCAGCCGGTCGCAGCGAGCAAGCGGTTGTCGCCTCGGCAGGCAGAGGTAATTTATGGCAACCACCTGTGCCCATACGAAGTGCAAGAGATGAAAGAGTACGAAAATATCTACTATGTTGGCTCGTTTGCGCGGCACAAGCACTATGCCGTGCCAAACAAACCGGAACGCAATTTTGGCTACGACGACGAGCGCGGCGAC